GCGATTTTCCATAATTTTTCGCTTCTCCTCCAGTTTTCTTAGTTCATTTTTCAGTTGTTTCACCTAAAAAAACCATTTAAAAAAAAAGCTTTTTCGAGTAAAAACACACTATATTTCTTACATGTTCTGGAGAAAATTCATCAGGAAGTGTGGGCACATCTTTGAGTTGAACTTCATGAATAATTGCATCGCCACGGCCATCAACAACAATCGAATTGGCATCAGCTTTCTCAGATATGTTCTGAAAAACTATCCACACTCTCATACAAAACGGTAAGGCATGTATGCAGTGACCCATCCAGTGTTTTTTTCAGTAATTCTATCAACACTCAAACTGATGGTTTCAAATTTTCGCTCCACGCAGTTAAACAGCTATGTCAATGAGAAAGACTCGAAAGAGAGCTGAAGAAATTGCTGGATGCATCAGTGGCAAGAAGAAACGCAGCGATGAAACAATGGCTAATCAAAATGACCAATTAATTAAAAACGAGGACATTAGGGCAGTTTTTTTTAAGCAAAAAGACTTTAGAACAAGAGAAGCAAATATAGCTACAGATAGTTCTGACAGTAACTCAAAACAGCCAAACGACTCAGCTCGAAAATTTCACAATTTATTTATAAATTATGTGATTATGTGAAAATTATGTGAAAATTCTGCAGCAAAGCAGCTATTACCATACGAACTCGCTATAAATCAATAGTTTTACTTAAGATCAGTATTGATAATGAGCAAACCTCAAGAACCACTTCACTGACGCCAGTTTCCAAAGATGTCTTTAAGGTACGTTTCACTTCAGCCCGATCCAAATACACAGTCACTGATGCCACTTTCACATCGCACGCCTTGAAAGTGTGTCTTTGAACCATTCTTGACAATACTTTTCCTGTAATAAATTGTAGCTCTCACATCCCTACCTTTTTTCTGCGAAATTTTAGCGCGTCATATGTTTACAGATTTGATCGACAAAAATCAAAAAATACGATTAGACAAAATTTTCAAAAATGTATTGCTGGCACACGGTAATGGTCAGTACGAGGTATTGCATAGCACTGTGACGATCTTTTCATTAAAAAGTTGTTTAAAACTAATATTATATCCTGGCCAAACACAGCCCTGTCATAAAAAAAATCGCAAAGGTAAAAAAATTCCTTCCACAATTTGGGGAAAAAGAACGAAAATCAGAATCGCTAGTAAGCTGATCACCAATTGATGCAGCATTGGAGAAAAGCAACTGCAAAACTGCTAGCTACAGAGGTGGTGAGTGACACTACGAATTGCAATCGATCAAAGTGCTAATGCGTACGCTTCAAAAAGCAAGAGAAAATAATTGGCCAACGCACGGGCTATCCGTGCGAAGATACGTTTTTTGTCGCTATCGTCACTGGGTCTTCCGACAAATGTTTCTAGCTAAAAGAATTTCAGACTGGCAGCCAGGACTATCACGAAACGTCCCTTCAAAATTACAGTCTTTTAGCTCCTCATATTCCCGAGTTAGCAACTTACCCCCAAAAAAAACTTTCACGGGCGCGTACATGGGTACCACGCTTACCCGGGGGTTGGGTTTGAGCGCATTAATATCTGCTTGGACGAGGAACATCCCTCTAAGATTTCAGCTTTCTAGCTTTTCAGATTCCCGAGTTATGAACTTACCCGGAAGAAATTTTGGCGCGCCCATACGCGGGTACGCGGGTAGTGGAGCCTGTTTTGGGTTTGGGGCCCGTTCATGCATGTAGATTAAGTTCCCAAAGTTTTAGCCCTGTAGCTTTTGTAGGTCTTGAGATGAGAAACTGTGACAGACGCAAACACAGACACACAGCCACAGAGACGCACAAACACACACAACTCCTCATCAATATGCATTTTCCGCAATGCATAGCTGCAAAAAACACATAAAAAAATGTCTTTGCTGTTAACATAGAAACTCCAACATAATGAAAATAATAAATACCGGTGGATACAAAATATACAACATTATATTTAATCCCACAAAATTTTTGCGCCACAACCACCAAAAGCTTAATTCTTAAGAAAAATGGTTAACTGCTTTGAAAGATAGCACAGCCTGTAGGCTGTTCGGAATATTTCGAAGCACGCATTATTAAAAAAAAAATTTTAAGGGGGGCGAGGGAGGGGCAAGGGAGATGGTAGGAAAAGGATAATTAGGCTTCAGGTGCGGGTGCGAGGAATAGAAGAGGCGATGGTCGCTCCTCTCTCTGCTCTAAACGAAGGTGCTAAATAATCTAAAATTGAAATACGGATGAAAGAGACGAAATTCGGCGAGCAGTATGGGATGTTGCTGAGAAAAAACGGACAACAGAAGTGACAGGAATGGGACTGAATGCTCCAATAAAAATCACGTCGGAGCATCGACAAATTTTTTTCTCGGGAATTTTTGCCCAATAAAATGACATTTTTCCAAAGCACAGCCTTGCCTCTGTGCACTTTTGAATTCGTTGGGGATTTTTCACATTCAGAAATTACTATACTGCCCGAAATGGCAAATGTGAAGAAGCCAAAAATTGCTTTTATGATGGAAGCAAAATCTCACTTTAATCATTGTTGTGCTTGACAGATTATATATAGCAGCACTGATGATAGATGATGCCCATCATAAAAGAACACAAGAAAGGCCATCGGTACAGGGAAGCTGAACGATATTTGGAATTATGTGAATGAGCGAAGTCCAAAAGACAGAAGAATTGAGAATTTGATAACTGAATCAGTGGTGTAAGGACGACAATTTAAACAAAATATTAAAGTCATATTATTTGTATAAGCGACTAAAAGATTATTGTTTATCAGTTTTTCAAAAAAACGTGTATGCTTGCCCATATCGATTTCTCGAAAAACTCACATGATCATATTTTCCTTATCTCTAAATAGTACTATTATGCTTCTACTTAGTACCAAAGCTTCCACACATTTCTAAGCAACAGCAGCGCAAATATTACTGGACCAATGCACAGAAAGTAAAAGAGCACTGATTAGAACAAGAATAACTTAGAATAAGTAAATTTGTTGCTGGCCTGCCATCCAAAACATTAAGGCAAACTCCTGAAAATACCAAGAAATTCAAGAATTTCTTGAAAAATCCGGAGATTTCTCCATTGCAAATGGAACTAAGGATACATTTGTGAGGGTGAATAAGGGTAAGAGAACAAGAATGCTCCGAAAGAAAGATCTATCCGAGAAAGTTTTCAAAAGTGCAGTGCAGCGCTGAAGGTGCAGACCGGGCCGGCACTAAGAAGTACGGAGTTCTCGAATATGACAGATTCTAACAGAACTGAATAAAACCAGTGTATGTACGGTGTGATAGTTCCATACGATCAAACGCAAACAAAAGGGCAAAAAACGTCCCGGAAAAGAGAATTTACTAGGAAAACTGGTTGCATTTTGCCGTGCATTCCGGAGTGAGCAGAGTGAGTCATAAATGCTTGTATTTGCGCTCTGAAACATACTTGTGTGTTTGTGTGCTTGTGTATGTTTTTGTCCAAATGTGTGTTTGTGAGAGTGTGCGCATGTGTGTTTGTGAGCGCAGGTGTGTATGTGTATTTATGCACTTGTTTGCATGTATATATGCAGTCTGTTTGTGTCTGTGAGTGTTCAAATGAAAGTATGCGTGTATGTGTGTATGTACATGTAAAAAATTTGTGTGCGTGTTTGTGTGAGCACTAAATTTTTTCTTTTTTAAAATTTATCGACATTTTTGCGTGATGAAAACATCTGAGGACTCTTGCAGCCACTGTTGAACACAGAAGACGATTTTTCCTACAAATCGAGAGAGTACAAGAAACTTTTTAATTTACCTATTTTATTTTGCCAAAGGTGTTGTTGCACTGATTTTTTTGTGCAGCGACTCCAAATTTATCAAAACAAAGAGCTTTGGAATTTTTCTCTTTTAGAAGATATCAGGTGTTTCCGGAAATATTTAGTCCAGAGACTAAGTTTGACATTGAATTTTTTTCTTAATATTATTTTACCAAAATTACCAAAACTTTTCCAACAGTCGATGTAGGACTTCAAGGGCTATCGAACTTTCAGAGCGTCGACGGTGCTTTGAAATTTTTGTCCAACAGCAGTTCTCTGATTTGCAAATTCTTTCTAAGCGCAACATCTTTCGAATCTTTTGATGCTCATTACTAGTCGTTCTACTCAATTTTAATAAATTTTGAAGTCGAAATGAGAAACTTCCACGTTTTTGCTTACGTTATTAATGAAAGTTACTCATTTTTATATTTTATCCGAGTTTCCGCACTCGCGCAATTTTGTCTGCCAGTCGCTTGTCAAGTCAGCTTTGCATAAATTAGAATTATACGTTTCTATACGAAATATAACACAAACCTGCATTGTTTGATCTGAAACTGCCCAGGCGACTTTTAGTCGCCCATGTGTTTTCAAACTCACTGCCTCAACTTAATCCTCCTTGCCTCCCCCTTACGTAGCGTTAGCCCAAGTTTGCCTCCCTTTCGCTATCTTCTGTCATCCTGGTTCTTACTCTCTCTCATGGAAATTCGGAAACTAATAAATATTAATCAGACTGATGTTTCACCTCAACTGCCATATAACTGAACGAAACTTGCGATGGAATCACATTCTTCATGAAGTTCTTAGCCGGGATTATCCTCTGTTTCGGATGCATCGCTGCTGCTCCATCATCAACGTCTCAGCCAACTGAAGCCACAGCAGAATCTTCATCTCTGTTTTGGTTCCTTTGCTGTTGTAAGCGACCAGAAGCGGCGGCTGGCGAACAGAGCGTAGTTTACAATGCAGAAGCCATTGTATATTGTGATCATGACGATTTGGATCCAGGAACTAAAGATGCGGCCAAATTCAACAAACTGAAGAAGCATATTAAAATTATTGGTATGAATTCAGGGTTAAAGCAAATCAAAGCTAAAAAATTAAAGCCTGAAGAAAGCTAAGCTTCTAAACTGAATAAGCTCGGTGAAGTTGTGGAACTTGTCTTTAAATGTTATTTTTCAAATTTTTATGTTCAGTTGTTGAATGCCTATCTTTCATACAGAACGAATGCGGAATAGGTGCAGACTTTGACTTTACTCACAACTGAACCTTTTATAATGAAGAAAGTTGTTTTTTTTAACTCAAAACCAGGCGTTTTCCTAACTCATTCTGCAGAATGGTAGAAGCGATATTTTCTACTGTACCACACCGAATAGTACTTGTTACGTAATTGTCATAAATACCTTTTTCTTGCCAATTTTTTTTTGCTCTTGTCAATTAAAGTCCTCATACGTTGCAGCCGTATCGATTCAGAAAATTGTAAAGTCTCGTGGTTCAGCCCTTGAGTTGGTTTTGAAACTGTAGTTCTAGTAGAACACATGACCAGGGAAATCTATTTTGTAAGTCTCGTTACACAAACTCTCCATCTTCACTCTTTCATTATTTCTCTAAACTGTAAAACAGTACATGTCCAGGATCGAACAGTCAGGCATAGTTGTGCCCGGGGTGCAAGAGCATCCTAGTAACATCGATAATATGCTGAACCCACAATGATAGTCTTGGCGATCTTGATATATATACGCACAGATGTAGTCGATTACAAATATGCTTTCAGCATTTGCATCACACTTCCCTGGACACTAGCTTGTTTTGGAACCACACGTCCAGTTACTGATTATTTTACAAAAGCACTTCATTTGCGAATCTTACAGGCAACGGAGAGATATTTGCTGACAGAGGAAGTGACTCAGAATATGGTTTGGTTTTTCAGGCAACTGACCATGGTGCGTTGTTTACTGCGTCCATTTTTTCCTGACCCCTTGGTAACCACCATTCTGACCGTTGTTTTCTGTAGCTTCACCATTTTCAAAACGTATACGTTTTTGCTTATATGCAAATTGCAAAAACGCACATTTTGTGGCCCATGGTGCGCTTGTGTGGATGTTCGTGTGATGTGTGCGTGTCTGTCCGGGTATTTCAATTTGGCACCTGAGCAAGCTCCAGCGTCAAAATTTTGCCTACGGGTTCTTCGGCCAAGTGCCACTCCAGAACCATGACACCAACTCTCACATTACTCTGGGCCCCGCGTACGAGAGTGTGAAAGTTTTGGCAAGAAAATCGCTAACTCAGGAACCAGAAAAGCTAGGAAGCTGAAATTATGGGGTTATTTACCCCGTCTGGAACTTAAAGACTTCAAATTCATCCCCAAAATCGCCACTTCGAAAAGCCAGGGAAGCTGGGAGCCTGAAATTTCAAGAGGACGTTCTCAGCACATGTACAGCTTAAAGTTAGCAAATTCAGCCCCAGAGCATGTGTAGTTCTTTTTGGTAGGAAAATTTCTAACTCGAGACCCAGGGAAGCTGGAAAGCTAAAATTGTAAGGAGATATCTGCAGCCTTCGTGAAAGCTAAAAATATCAAAATTAGTCCCCAAGTATACACGGTTCTCATGTACGGCGCCGTGAAAAATTTTGGCGGAAAGAATTGCTGACTCGGGGACTTGCTAACCTGGGAGCATGAAATTCCTAAGGAATGTTCCCAGGATAAGTGTGGCTTAAACTTATCAGACTCAGCCTCTCGGCGAGCGTTGTTCTAACGTACGGCCTCGTGGAATTTTTTAGCGGTAAAATGGCTGACTCGGAAACCAGGAAACCTGGGAGGCTGAAATTTTAAGGGGATGTTCCCTGTCCAACTACCGCATAGACAATAATTTTTCGGACTTCAGGGAATAGTATGTCACGCATTTCTAACTACTTGGTTTTTGAGCGATCTCACTACAGCGCGAAATGCTGCAAAAACGCATGATCGCACGGCCCGCGTTGTGCGCGTCGCCAGTGATTTCAAATCTTCATTTCTACAGCTTTCTTTTCCTGTAATCAGTCCAGATGAGGTTGTTGGCATTAAAAGAAGTAGTTGCTTTTGAGCTTGCACAGTAATCAGGCAACAGACTGAAAAATCCAAAGATTCATGCTGAATAGCGACGGTTAGAAGAGGGATCGGAGAAATTGCTTCAGAGCAGGCTGAACTGAGCGTATGGGTTTGCATGAAAGAGAGAAATGCTAAAAACAGGACAGACTGAGTAATTCGTTTTTAGGATTTAAATGTTTCAAAGCAAAAGATCTGGAAGAATTTGATCCCGACACCTTCAACGGATTTGTTTTTCCGCCTAGTGTTTGTAATCGCTCGGATGTTATGATTCGTGCTGCCAGTGTGCCTTGCGGAATGATAAAGTTTGTTTTTCTCCTGCTACATTTTTCCCGATGGCTGTTTTCTGGCAGATATGCAGTCCAAAATCGAAGGCCTTAGCAGGGGTGTGCCCACTGCTGAAGCATTTCAGTAACACCCACTAACATGAGATACCTGGCAGTTATGGTCTTCCCGGTACACATTTCACCATCATTATTTTTTTTTGTCAGTACTGTCTTATTACTATAATTAATATCAATATATTGTTATTATTTCATGGTTGTGTGTATAATTATTTCCATCAATGCTTACAAACTTTTTAATAGTACTCACCCAGCACTGAAGATCTCTCAAACGTAAGCATTCCCAATGTACCAGTCTTAGCGATATTTTAGCTATGTTCAGACAGCAAATTTTTAGGCCTTGATTAGGCTCCTTGCACCAAAGCAATCCCAGACAAGCCCAGCAATTGGTTATAATCGGTTCTGCACTGGTTCCACAGGTTGATGCAGCTGGCAGTCTCTTCTTCACTTCCCTGCACTCACTGCTTTCACCAAACTCCATCTAGGAATTAGGATAGATCTTTTAAGCTTCTTACTGTTCATGGAAAATTCTGTGAATATTGTTAAAAGCCTACATTCTCTACTGTTGCCTCTCAATTTCGGCATGTGATAAGCTCGACTATTTCAAGGCAATAGTCAAAAAATTAGCTTTGATCACTTGTATTTTATTGCGTCGTTCTCCAGTTGCACATTTAGTAACTTTTCCAATTGCTTTGATCAACACTGCATATTTTTTGCGCTTTTGCTGTGCAGCGCTATAATAGCGCTATAGTGCTGCTACAGCCAGCAAAAACGCATATTGTCGAGAGGCTGTGTGTGTGTGTTCGGGAAGCGAGTGCATTTTGTCACCCACTTTCATCTCGGCAACCAGGAAAGCTGGGAGACTGAAACTTTGGGTATATGTTCCTACCTCGTGTATCATCCCCCCGTTTTAAGATCTTCCACCATACGTGCCTAGACCCCGCGTACCGGACCCCCAAAGGAATATGTTGCCGCGAAACGATTTCGCATACTAGGCGAGGTAGAAAGCCAAAACTTTGCAGGGATATTCTCTATGCACGTGCAAGCTAAAAATTTTAAACACAGCTGTCTAGCCCCCCAGTCACAGCGTCAAGCAGCTCCTCAACCCAAAAATCTTGGCAATTCGGACCCGAACCGGAATCGTATTTTTAAATGAGCATGGATTTTTTGACAAACGACCGCTCGTGCAATAATTCCAATTTTCGGTGAATTGGAAATTTGCGTTTTTTCAAAAAATCTGCACTTGTCATTTTTTCACAAAGCTAGCATTTACCAAAAAGACGACCGGACTTCATACAAAAAACCGGTAATCACCTGGATGTCCGCGCGGCTCTATAGTGCACCACCTTCATCCCAACTGACCCCCTTACTCCTGCATGCCGGAAAGATCAAAGCATGGCCAATATGACCCAAGTGTTAGGCTATAGCATGGGGATCATTCCTGCTAATAGCGATTTGCGAATTTAGTGCAAAAACGCATGATTCCTCCAGAGTGCCTGGTGCGTTCCAGCCTGCGTTTGGTCAGCCTAGCGGCGATTTTGACATTCGCGTCAATTACGCAAAAGAAATACTTGTTCAAAAGCTCTAATTGTTTAGATAGATTGTTTAGATAGCTCTAATTGTTTGCTAATTTGTTCACATTTCAGGTATCTGTCATACTCAACCGATGAAGCAACCGATGAAGGAAAAGCTGTGTTTCAAGAAATCTTCAGATTGCCTAGAGAGGTAGAAATACTGGAACAGAAGGAGTGATCTTAAGTGTCATGTATCAGAGGAAATCTTACGACGCAGTCTGTATTTCATTTCTTAGCTTTAAACACAAATAGAGCAATGCATACGGGTAGAAGCGAGAATCGTCAGTAGGCTGCTTAAAAATTCTTTTATGGAAGGGCAAAATGCTGTTTGCTTTTGTAAGTTAGCCAAACGACAACAGTTCACCGGAGCGTCTTACTGATTCCGGTAGATTTTTCAGACAGAAATAAAAGCTGCGTTTATAATAAGTCCTGGAGGATGTTCTACGAAATGCATGGAAAAATGGACCTTACTTCTGCCAAGCGACACTTTCCTGAATCCTTGCATCTGTGTTAACAGGGCATTCAAATGGATTAAAAGGTATGCTATTCATGTAAATGGATGGTGCCGTATCCAGCCACACGTTTCTGAAACTTTTTGTTGCAATTCGACGTGTCTGAAGGTCGAGATTCAACTCTTACAGTAGGGACAATCATTTGCTATGCGACCCGTTCGTTTTATGGTAAACTGGTACTGGCTTCAGAAAAATAACTTCCAGTCTTTTCCAAAAAACCGTTTAAACGGTTAAGTTTTATCAGAATATCGAGAAAGTCTGACTGAGAAAACAAGTGCAGCACTCGATCTCTCATAAGAACTTTTCACGAATGTGTTGCTGATGATATATGTAAAACCCAAGCTGAACGCACCAGGCTGGCCCCGTGTGATCATGCGTTTTTGCACCGAACTTGAATTATTCAGGTCATTAATTGTATGAATAGCTGTTGCTTTACACTTATGCTTTCACTAGCATAAAGCACCACAAATTTCGCAAAGTAAATGTACAATTTCCATTTAACAATCGTTCTTTAAAAGCAACCTATTTCTTCAGTGAGAAATTTTTTCGACAAGACTTTTAAGCGCCCATACGCAAGAACCACGCATACCTCAAGGCTGAATTTGAAATATACAAGTTGTACTTGGACAGGTAACATCCCCCCAAAATCTCAGCTTTCTAGTTTTTCTGGTTACCGAGTTAGCAATTTTTCCGCCAAGACATTCACGTACTCCACTTACTTGGAAGGCTGAATTAGAAATTTTTAAATTGCGCGTTGACAGGGAACATCCGCCTAAAATTTCAGCCTTCCAGTTCTTCTAGTTACCGAACTAGTAATTTCCTGCAGAAACTTTCTTACGCCCTCACGGAGTACCATGCATAGCTTGGGGCTGAATTTGAAATATTCGAGTTGTACTTCAGCAGAAAACATCCCGTCAAAATTTCAGCTTTCCGGCTTCCCTGGTACCCGAGTTAGCAATTTTCCCCCTAAAACTTCCATACGCCCTTTCATGAATTTTTTTTTTTTTGTACAACGCATACCTGGGGGCTGAATTTGAAAACTTTAGCCAGCTCATGCACACGAAATATCCCCACAAAGTTTCAGCCTCTTAGGTCACGTGGTTCTTTCCCGCCAAAAAATTTGCATTTTTTCTTTAAGCGCCCGTACTCTGCGCCCAGACATCCAAGGCGGATGAAATTAGAACGGGAGGATCGCGCATGGTATAGGCACATACTCCCAAAGTTTTAGCCTTCTAGCTTTTCTGGTTCTCGAGTTGAAAGTGGGTAACAAAAAGTGCGAACACACAGACACATACACACAGACAGCCTCTTCCCAAAATGCGTTTTTGCAATTTTTCTATACGCAAAAACGCGTAAAAAAACTAAAGAAAAATTAATCGATAGAAAAGGAGTGTTTCGGTCCATTGAGTCGCATGCTTCCCTTTCAACCTACAATTGAACGTTTGTGGTGTTGACTAACTAGGGGTTGATCCACGACTTGCATCTGGCAGCTTTTCCTCTCAACTGTGGCTTTGTGCTTTCTGCATCCACACCAACTATCTTACAGCAAAGCATGAAAAGCTCTTTGCAAAGATGCAAAAACAATGCAAAATTTTGGGCGAAATAACTGTCTTTAATTTTTTTTTTAAAAAAATAAATTTTGCAGTGATCTCAATGAAATTGGTGTGATTCTGATCGGTGGAGATGCAGTTTGTCTTTTACG